TATTTACTTTATTTCATTTGTTTGCTTCATTCGTTTTTCTAATTAAATTGTTAAACAGAAATTGTCGTATTTTTTGCATAATGTCAGTGTGTGTTATTGCACTCGAATGGCTTCCTGCCTGCGGCGCGGCCGTAGATGCACGTACATAAAAACCCAGAAAATCTTAGTATGTATGAAATTAAAAAATTACACCACGGAAAGTGCCTGAACGATTTTTATTCACTCGTTGCTACGCACCAAAAAACTCACTCGTTCGCTGCGCTCACTCGTTCGTTTTTTGGTGCTGCGCAACTCGTGAATAAAAATCGTTCGTGGCACTTTCCGTGGAGTAATCTCTATTTGAGTCATAATGTCGAAGTTACTTTTATTACCTGCAACAGCAACGTGTCTCGTCGAACGTGTTCACTTGGATTATCACGAGTCTAATCGTCTAATCACACATGTTTTTTCTAAGCATTTAAGGCCTGTTATCCCACCTTTTAACAAATCGTCTTTCTTGTCTGACCTGTGCTAGTTTTTCTTTATAGACACGTAGAATACCTTAACATGAAATGTTTCTGCTCAAAAAGTAGACAGATTTTTTTTTTTTTCAAATGAAGATCGACTTTTAGAATTAGTTTGTTGTCGAATTCATGAAAATTCTTTGTTGATTTTAAATTAATTCTAATACTCAAGCTACGGATACACGGTGCAACATTGTGCGTAATGCTGCAGCAATATTCATCATCTGAGATATGTTTCACTTGTTACACACGAAGGATTTAGTACGAGGCTACGTGCTTAATAAAATTTATGCTTTTCTCCTTTTACGAATCACTGAGCATTATGCACGAAGCATTATCATTAGTTATCATTATTTATTATTATTATTATTATTATTATTATTATCATTAGTTATCATTATTATCATTATTTATCATTATTTATTATTATTATTATCATTATTATTATTATCATTATTTATTATCATAATTATGCACTAAAACCTAGTATTACCTTTTTCGCCCTGTGTATTTACATTTTGGATTTAATCAGTTAGGAAAAAACATTAAAACTCATTAAATACAAGATCTAAGTACACAGGGCTAGCTAAAATTTCTTTTCTTTTCTTTATTTTACATTTGGACGATTTTATTGAGTTTTTTAAAGTATCGCCATTTTTTTTTTATAACATGACACCACTTAGCTTGGGCTACCTGTGATATTTTTTGACATAATGTCGTTATTCTAAAATAAGGCTAGATAAATTACTTATCCGAGTTATCACTTTACTTTGCATTATATCGTTTATAGTTTATTTGATAATTATTTTTATTATTACAATGTAAGTGTTACATTTCAAGTTTATACGAAATTTATCGAACTGATCTCAAAAGTCGTGAAAACTCGAAAATAACTGGTTTACTAAGTTGCTTTTCAATCTTTAGCTGTAGCAAGAAGACGTATTAATATTTCGACTCACGAATATCTTCTTTTATATTCATTGATTTATATAGGTATAGCTAAAGTCATAAATAACGACAAAAACTGACGTTTAAAATAACAACATCAATCAACGTGAACATTTAAACTGTCTTGTAAAAGACTGACCCAAAGAGATAAGGGTTTCCTTACAACCAAATCTCTTGAAAAAGTTGTCTTTAGCGACGTAATTAGTTCACTGTAAATAGAATATTATGAATATGTTGTAATCAAGGAAAGTTGTTAATGCGATAAGGGGAATTTTCGGCTACATTAGGGAAATAATCATCGTGATTTGAAGTTAGACGCGTGAGGATGATAAGACCTATTTATTGGTAATTTAAAAAGAAGAGTTGAGCTTTACAGAACCGGAAAGTATATTTGAATCAAACACCTTACAAATTGGCCAATTAAGATAAAATAATAAGGACGACGCAACGCAAAATGGGCGCGATGACGTCATCTTAATGTCTCGAAAGGCACGCGGTCTGAACCGGATGATGTCTCGAGTCATGCAATCCTATATATCCCATATATTGACAGAGTGTCTAAGCAGTCAACCCAAATAAAATCAGATACAGCTCTTCCAGTGAGTGTAAATCTGTGAAGTGTCCAGACATCTCCGGTATGGTTTTCACTCGCCGAGACTTCTCTACAGAAATATTTGGCAAAGTAATGCAATTTTAGAGGAGATTTTTTCTTGCCGAAACGCGACAAGTGACGAATTTTGTGTGTTCAACACTTCAAGAACCTAGGTATGTTAAATGCAGATCGTTTATTTCAGTTTTTAACTAATCTTCTTAAAATTCTTACATCAGTTTTTTTTATATTTTTTGTCGTTCGTGGAAGTATTCCAACGATTGTAAAAAGCATAAAATCTTTCAAAACCTTGACACAAAGGAAATACGTCGAATCTCATGGACCAGAGTTCGTGGTCTTCATAGATTTACTCCGTCACGTTTATTTCTTTAAGTCTATCGTTGAAATCATAGAAGCAATGCATGACCTTTGGATTTCTTTCACTAAGACAATAGAAATACCACTTGATAGAACTAAATTTGTTTTCCAAATTTTCCGTCGTGCAATAGCTTTTTCGGTGCTGAAACCTATATCAATTTGGTACTCATTTTCTAGATATTGTGAGAAGAAAAACACACAAAACGCTAATGTCATGATTAATACTAAATTTAACTTTGTTTTGCTACCAACGCACCAATTGTACACAGCGCATTTTGCCAGGTATGAAGAGAATTCTGTTTAAGTTTTTCAGTCAATTTTATTCAAGATCAAACATAACTATTTTGTCTTAGCCAACAGTGTCATGATCCCTGGCGGTTCTTTCAAACAAAATACTTTGTTTATTCGTAGTTTGTTTTTCTAACACCATGTTAAGTTGATCTTAACTGTATTAGTACAGTGAGGCCGAAATCCTTTTATTCGACCAAGGCAATAGTTCGACGTAGGAACAGTATTTTGACTTATATTCGTATTTAAAAGATACATATACATATATATAAGGCTCATGCAAATCACTGTACTTAGCGAATACCATGTGGAAAGAATGTTGACCGTTTTCCCAATGGACAAAATTAATAAGCGACAGAATCTAGTATTCTTCGTTTGCAACCACGCGTATTCTGCTGGTGCTAAAGAACTTTTTGGTTCCAATCAAACAACAATCCTTATGACCATGTAGAGCTACTTATAATACAACGCTGAGCAAAAAATTGGAGCATTAGAGAATTTCTTAAACGAGCTATGAGCGAACGAAGTTACCGATATTTTAGTGTAAATGTATGGCGAAAACTCGCTGGATGATATCTAGTATCATCCAACATGGCGGCCAAAATTTCAACAAAAAACAAATTTAATGACACTTCAAACATGTACCAAATCTAATTTATAAACTTGTACAACGCTAAAAGATTTTGATTTGAAAAATATATATTTATTTCTTTGACTTTTCAGACACGTATTGAGCGTAAGGTGAGGATTACCGATTAGAAAATAAGATTCGCACAACTCGGAAACAAAACGATGGAACGATTTGAAAATTTCTACACTTAGTGACATTATAGTTCTCTAAAACATATCAAATAATCGAGTTTATAGCATTCATAATTAATTTTATGTTGTTATTTTCTTGGTACTTTTATCTCTGGATTTCAGCCATGACAGACAGCAACACTTAAAGTATCTTAATGTCTTTTTGTTTTGATTGAAAACTCTCTTGAAACTTTTGTCGCCTTCTCATTCAGGAAGGGTTTAAGCAAGCTTACGTGTATCAATACTAGAAGACAGAACAGATACTTTGTAGTAAAACCCATTCAAAGGTTTAAACCCTTGGTGACAAGCGATCAAGAATTAAACGCAGTCGTAGTTGGAATTTGTTGCTTTAAAAGGCATTTAATAACACTAAAGTGGCTTACCATGACTGCTATGGAATCGAAGCTAGAAAGGCACTTCAGTGTTGTGGCGGTATGTATCACTGAAATGGCTTCCGATTGTTTTCGGGTGCCTTATCGAACAAACCTAACAATTTGCGCATATTTTTCATTTTTGGGCAATTAAAAATCAGCTCTAGATTTGTTGGGAAGCCATTTATTGGTTACGAACCATAACACAAAAGGACTTCTCACGATTGTGCATGTACCTTGCTGACAAAGTTTTCGGTGTTTGTCTCCTCTTGTTATTCATTCTGAATCTTTTGAAAAGATTCGGAGCTGTTTGCAAAGTCTGCACTGCAATGGCTTCCCAATGATTTGTTTATTTGTTTCATTTTCATAGTTAACTTAGTTGTTACTGATTTTTTGTTTTTCAGTTTTTTGCTTATCTTTTGTATTTTATTATTTTCTTTCTTCTTCTTTACTTTACTTTGCTTTAACGAATAAATAAAAAACAAAACTTAATATCATTCCGGTGATAAATATTTTTATTCTAATAAATTCCGTGCTTTCGTGAGGATTACTTTCTCCCAAAAAAATCCACAATCGATCAAAACCAGATGATGTAATCCTTTATTGCTTTTATATTTTATATTTATTATTTATCAGCCGTATTTATTAACTTATGTCTTATGTTTTATAGTTTTGTCAGCATTCTTCGATCTTTAGTATTCATACTCTAACATACAATTTTATCCTTATAAAGTAAGAAACCGTTTTAGCAAATTAAAGTTTTAGAAATATTTCTCCTTATCTGTAAAGGTTTTATCCTAATTACCCGTTAGATCCTACGCGATAATATTGATTTAATAAAGTCATAGAGCGATTCCCTTTACTAGAATCGCTTAATCGTTGACTGATGTGCGACGACCTGCGCTTTGATGCTTTTCATGCAACAAGCGAGCTTTTTTGAAAATTTTCGCAATATAATGATAGCGACTGAAAAAGTATAAGCCGAGTTTGTGGCTAAACGAATGGCTAAACGGACGCGCGCAACTTCATTCTTCCCATCAATAATCCACACAAATGACTCCTTTGCATTTTTCAACGTAAGGTCTTATCTACAACACCATATACCCAACAACAGTTATCTAACGATCTCCATCCTATTTACATTTCAAATTATACACACCTATTTATTCGTGCTCTCCAAAGGGAAATTCTCATGACCTTTATTACTCTCGTTACGATAACCTCCTAGTCCTTTCTAGTGTGCCTTCGCCACGAAGGCCCTTTGAAGTGGCGCGTTATCTTAAGCAACAAAAACAAAAGATCATTATAGCTTAATGAATGTTGCCTGATTGACCAGAATAGCGAGTTGGTAAAATATCTTTAGACAAAATATATACCTTTAGATATTTCTGGGTATTCTTTGTTTTGTCAATGGAGGGAGAATTTTTTTGGGGGGGAGTTGGACAGAAATTTAAAGCAGGGAACGTTTTGATGGCACGACTGTCCGACTTTTATTCCTTCCATAACTAGCATCTTTGTACTTATTGTTTGTCGCTGTTTTCTGTTCCAGACAAAATGGATCGATTACTTTCAGTGGTATTCACCGTTCTATTGTCAATGGGCTCTTACGCATTAGGTAAGTACTAAAAGGCGATTATCTAAGATATAGATTGAAATGGAATCTCTTAAAGTAGCCCACTGATCCTCAACGCTTTATGCCACCTATTTTGGAGTTTGAATTTAATCGAAACCTATGGGTGATTGGGGGTCCAGTGCGAGAGATAATGTAAAAAAAAGCAAGAAAAAAAAAGCGAAATGAATGGATGGCATGAAAGAGAAATTGTCCTAACAGACGGACGGACGGACAGACGGAGGGAGGGAGGGTGGGAGGGAGGGAGGGATGGATAGATAAACGGCATACTAGACAATTTTTTCACATGTATTCAGGAAGAATTTTAAACGGTAAGAAAAGACGAAACAATAAAGAAAGTGCAAGTTAATTGACAAGAATCTTAAGCGAATCGTAAACATTGCAAGGCTTGAATGATCTGACAACAAAATATTTGTAAGCAAACCCATTCAGTTTATCACTTATTAATTAGAAAAATGATCCCAAGAACTGATAAGAAGAAAAAAGAATCTTGGAAAAGGAGAGTTTTGATCGTAATAATAGATACAAAAAGCGAAAGACATAGAGCAAGTTTACGCTTATATGCGAGTTAAGACATCAAGTCGATTTCACAAATATGAATGAAAACAGTGCTGCCGGTTGACCGTCGTTTTGTTCAGTAAAGTTTTCAATGTCATTCTTTGTTTTCAATGCTATAATATTAGCTAGTAGGTTTATGCTAAAACAATTAGACTACTCGTTCTCGTTTTCTCTGAGTCAAATAGTCTATTGACTCATAGAAAACTCGACCTCGTACTCTAATTATTAAATATTAATACATTTTTTTATAATACTTGTTTCAAATTTTGACTTTTAGATTTTAGGTAGACCTGCATGTGTGAGAAGTCATACGGGGGAGGGGGCATTGTGATTTGGTGTGGTGGGATGCATTGAGGGACAAAGGAGGATCACTGGTAATATTGTTTCTTCGTCTTTTGGTGTATTCCCATCCCGCTGGGCTGCGGGTGTTCTTTTTCCTGTGGTAGCTTTCTCGCATTTAGGTATAATTAATGTGTAGTAGTTTTAAATTTTATTTTTTCTATTCTTCTATATTTTAGTTAGTTTTAATTAGATTTTATAATTATTGATTGTAAATTGGTGTTGAAAAGCCCGAAAGGGAATGCTAATAAAGTATATATGTATGTAAGTATGCACTACAGATAACTGTATTTCCTTTTTTCCCCCCCCAGAAATTGATCTGCTAAGTGCAATTAAGGAAAACCCCGTCGCATACCACGTAAGTCCCATAATGAGCCGAAAGGGCGAATCCTTCACAATGTCTAATGCCCACAAAATCGTTGCCTCACGAGAGGTATTAGAAAGTACCATCCTAAACATAGAGTCGACAAAAGAATTCTTCATATATGCCGATGTTCAAGTCCTTACGGGAACCAACGGCGCTCTTTTCTCGATTGTTTACTTGCAATCAAACAAAAAGAACTTTCTTCTGGAGGTGACGGTTCGAGGCTTAAGCGAGAAGAGAGCCAAAATGACCTTCAGATACAGGCTCACTAATGGCTCTACTGACGCAGTGAGTTTTCGACATGGCATTTTTGGCTTATACGATGGAAATTACCACATGCTTGCGATGCATTTTTACGACTCAGGGCTCCAAACTACTATGGTGGACTTGTATATAGACTGTAAATTAGCGGGAAGGCAGCAAACATTGACTCCTGTGTCGCTCATATTTTCGTACGAGGGAATAAGACTGTCGCGGATGGAGTTCAGAATTGCGCAGAGGATTCCAAGAGACGCCAAAAACGCAGCAGCTAAAAACACAGCATCGCAAAGATGGAAGGTAAATACTTCTTATTTAAGGTCCGTGTCGTAAGTTATGGACCGCAAATTGACCAATTATAGCACTCCAAAATAGTCATGAAGCAAAGAAGTGCTCTTCTTGATACTTCTATTTCCGGAAGATTATTTCATGGGAACTTTGATTAAAGGTGTTTAATGCACCAAAAACTACCTTGTCATGACAACAATCTTGCTGAATCCAATTGGAATTTAGAACTTAATTTTTGTGTTATCAAAAACAAGTGTAAGATTTTTTTTCCCCTTTTCAGGGTCGGATGAGGGCTCTCAAATTTATCTTTAAACGTACCATGAAGCAAGTTAATTCAAAGTACTGTGCAGCAGGTAAGAATGGTCTGCTTGGGCGTAGCGCTTTCCTTTCCTTTCCTAAAATGTGACATTCTCTGGCTAATAAGATTCTGAGTGTCATCTATAGTAATTTTTCTTCTCGTGCGCAACCGTTAGACATAAAATGATACTCCGGGGAATGACACGAGGCCTGAAGTGGGAAAACATTACGCCCAGGCAGAAAAGGTATGTCAATCATGTTCATGCAAAAAATTGAACAAAAAAGTGTTTTTCGAATGTCGCCACCGAACTCTATTCGTTGTATTTGTACTCCATGCATGTCTAGGTTGTGGCGTGAAGTCGGTAGCAGTCTTATGATTATTATCAATAATCCTTCATTAACCTGTCTGCTTTTTTTTTTTTTTTTTTTTGACAGCGAAACCACCTGTTCAACCAATCGTCAGTGAATTTATCACGCAAACCATGATGTCTGAGATACAAGGTCTCATAAGGGACTTACGATACGACTTCTCCGTTCAGGTAGGCATGCGACCTCTCATTTTGCCTTTTCAAACTCAAAAGTAGCGACTTGATATTGCGCGGAATTGTGGGATTTTGAGCTCGTACTTGAATTCTGTACCACAATCCCATGCACCACGCGACTGTCACCAGTCTTTTGGACGTCGGAAAGGCTGGCTGAAAGAAGACAGGAAGCGACCTTGCGATTATGAAACTTTGGGCACGCGAGATGGGGGAGCTTTTTGATCGAAATTGTACCCAAATTGTATCCCACAATTAAATGCATTACGGGATCGTAATCTGTTTTTTTATCTTCATGAATGCGAATTACATCAACAGTACCATAAAGTATGAGTCAACTATAGTTGAATTTTCAGTGGATTTCTTTTTGGTCTTTGACCATGATTATCTTTGTATGATCAGGTCGCTGAAATAAAATACCTACGAAAAGTTGTGGAAAGTTGTCAGATGTGTAGAGGTAAGAGAAATCAGAATTTACGTCTCACGAATATTTTATCACCAGCATAATCCTGTTAAAATTGTCAACATATGTTCTTTTTTTTTTTTTTCTTTTTTTTTAGTACGAGATTTCTGTAAATTCAAGCCATGCTTTCCCGGTGTGCCCTGCTTTAATGACCCTTACAGTGATCAGGGATTCGAGTGTGGAGACTGTCCGCTTGGTATGGAAGGGAATGGAGTTAACTGCACCGATATTGATGAGGTCAGTACACCATGCAATATTGAAGCTACCTTGTCTATACTATTATCTATTCCGAGGTTAAGAAAAACCCTGGGTTGATGTAGCACTGTAGTGCATTGTGGGACTTGTTTAGGACAAAATAGATCTATTTTGGAAATAAGACCACTGTAATGAATGCGATGAGGAAAAACCTGGATGGATATACGTGGCTTTGCAGTGCATTGTAGGACTGTTTAAGGGAATAAATTAGACGCTTTCTTGAAAATAGGGTCAAATGCAAAGAGTTCGCAATAGTATAGATATAAAGATATGCAGGAATGCCATGCGCAACCGAAAGGAAAGCAGCGCGCAAATAGAAACATACCGTGCCGATGCAGTGAGAGGAAGTGGTTCACCATTGTGATTGGATAAGCAGTAAACTAGCGTCCTATGATTGGTTTGACAAATATTGTCAATTTAATGCTATATCATCGCTATGTGAGTGATATAACAATTAGAACCCTAAGTAATGTGGTTATATCTAATGCGTTTACCACTCTTGGGTGGACGGCTTGATGCCTAACAGGCCTTGCGACCCAATTGATGAGGCAGCCGGTTAGCACGGGTACTGAAGATGATCGTCACCAGCGTCTTCAGTGGATCTTTTACGTCCGCCTTATACAGGTTTCTTCTAGTGCACATTTCGTTTGATTAGCCTTTGCTATTTGCATATTTGCGAGTTAGGTATGTGTTTATTGTAATTTATCAAATCTTTTGATTAAAAAAAAAAAACGATTTTGGTTTTTTTTTATTGGTTTGAACTATAAAAAAATTCCTGCCTTGGCCGTGATGGTATGGTCCAAGCATTTTCGCTTGCAATCTCGTACCCAGAGCCTGCGTTTCTTCTGGCCTGCGGCGAAGAACTAGGGCTCTGGCATAATCCATTTTTTGAGACCAGGATTTCTTGGACTTCCGGTATAACAGCGCACGCGTTCAAAGATTTGCCAACAATTAAAAATATTTTTTGCCCCGATTTTTAATTCGTACTATGATTTTTACTTTGATTTTGAGTTCGATTTAATTTTTACTTTGCTTATTTTGACCGTTTATATCTCACTTTCCGAAAATTGCGCATGCGCCAAAATATGGACTATGCCAGAGCCCTCGTTCTTCGCCGCAGGCCAGAGTAGTGATCACATGCGCATGCGGCCTAAGCGAAAGCGTAAAATCCGCTCCGTGTCGTGCCATTGTCATACTAACTCTCCTCTATTCATCTTGCAGTGTCTTCTCCATCCGTGTGCTGATGTCAACGAATGTGCCAACCGTAACCCTGGTTACTGGTGTCCCCCCTGTCCTAAAGGATACATTGGCAAAGAGATCCATGGTATTGGAAGAAGGTTTGCACGACAAAACAAACAGGTAGGATTATAAATTGGGAGACATATTTCTTATGGAAATTTAAAATTTGGGCTTCCTGAGTTAGAACAGGCAGGTAGCCCACAAATAGAATTGGAAGGAATTTTTGGTAGCGGCGAAGTGCGCTATGGGAAAATTTTGTCTAGCCAGAAATTTCATTTACAAATGTCATCCATTAGTTTCCATTAAATTAAAATTGGAAAAACTAGACATTTCCGCCTTGGCATAATTTTTTTGGTATAAAAATATTATTGAAAGAGAACAAGCTGATGCTCCCCATCCAGAATTGAGAGTTTTCCTTTTTCCCTCACTACTGATTATGGCAGATGAATTGCCGAAACATGTTAGAAAAAAGTGTTCTACATGCTATACGAATGAATGAATAATGAGCAAGTGCTAATTTTAAACTGACAAGACAAAAACAACGACAACCACAATTGTTTATTTGCACCATCCATTACAATTAAAAAGCGTACTTTCTGTCTGTAATAACCATAAGGGCTAAATTGAAAGTAATAATCATTCCCTTTTTAGGTCTGTGTGGATGTGGATGAGTGTAAAGAGGGAACAGCTCTTTGTTCGATGCACTCTCAGTGCATCAATACTATTGTAAGTATAGCTTTCCCTTTACTATTGGTACTTAACACACTTGAATATATACCTTTGTCTTGGTGGAGTGTTTTTCCATTCCAGACCACATGTGATTCTCTAGAGTATCATTTCTTTGTTTAAGGGATGCGCATGAGAAGACACATGGATATGAATACACTTCAAACAAAGAATCTTAATTCTCAAGAGAATGACACGTGATCCCTAAAATGGAAAAACATTACTGCCAAATGAATAAGTTCCAAAGGCCATTTGCACCAAATATACCCGTGCTGATATATCACTTTGATAACAAATCATTTTAGCTCACGGTCCCTTGGGAAAGGCTCTGCTATATTTCTGTATCTTGAAATCGAAAGTACCTTATAAGGGAGGAATCATTCTGGAAAAAGGTTTTGGATATGATATTAGTAATCCAGCAAAAGTTATTTAAATAAAGGAAGTTCGTTTTTTTTGTTTGTTTTTGTTTTTGTTTTTGTTTTTGTTTTGTTTTGTTTTGTTTGTTTCTTTTGTTTTTGTTTTTGTTTTTGTTTTTGTTTTCGTTTTCGTTTTTGTGTTTTTGTGTTTTTGTTTTTTTTGTGCCATCCAGTAACAGTCATTTGATTGTGTACTGCAAAAAGCCTATTCCCCGATATTGGTCGGTTAATAGAATTTCAATTCTTTTTCTTTTTCTTCCAGGGTAGTTACCGATGCGCTCCGTGCCCACCAGGCTACACTGGTGATCCTTATATCTCGTGCATTTTCCTGGATTACTGTAACGGTGTTGACCCCAAAACCAACCCTTGCAGTTTGTATGCTGATTGTATACCTGTGAGAGGTGGAAGATCCTTCAAATGTGAGGTATGAATTGCATTAGGAATAGAGAGAAAAACAGAAGGTAGAAGGAAAAGAGGGCGGAAGGAAGGGAGGAAGGAAGAAAGGGAGGAGGGAAGAAAGCAAGGAAGCAAGGAAGCAAGGAAGCAATGAGT